TCGGTGGGCACTGGATATGAAATCACCCTTAAATTCCTGCTCTCAGAGGTGCACTTAGGTTTCACACCTACTGGAATCAGATGGGTCTTTGCCCACTGCATGCCACAGCCTCCTTTTACACTCCCTGTTGCCACAGCAACCAGATTTCTGCAAGTGCTACCTGAGAGCACCTTGCCTCCACAGTGCCAAGGGACTCTTGCTTTCTGGAATGTTCTAAATGCTACAGAACTGGATGACCATGGGCATCTTCTCTGCACAGCATGCATGAAGTATGAGAGCTGATCCCCAAGGAAGACCTTGACCAGTGCAGTCAGGAGTCAGTGGATAAATTGTCCCGTCTTCTGTGACTCAGGTGCACAGTTCCCAAGAATTCCACATCTTCTGCTGTCTCCACTCTGCCTCCGGGGACCTGTGAGATCACCTCCAGGGCCAGCTCCATCACGCACAGGGCGACACAGTGTGCTGTTGTCCCACCTCCCCCTCTCTACTTGCATGCACCGACCTTCCTCTGGCCCCTCTCCTCGGAGCCCTGGCTTTTCTCAGGCTTCACTTTCTATGCAAAACCCAAGCTGAGACAGTAGTCTAAGTGACTTATGGGACACTTTCTATAAAGCATTTTTGTTGTAAGAAACAAAGAAAGCTCACAGGACAACAGTTAAAAGCCATGTCGACACTTTGCTGACTCTTTGCTGCTGTTTTACTTGCACCACGGATGCCCTGTACCCTGTCCTGAGCCACTTTTTTTTTTTTTTCACTCAGCAGGAATGGCTTTTATCCCGAATTTGATCTTTACAAACAATGTTGAATATTTTAAAATATTTCAGCATTTGACATGCACGTCCACAGTGTCTTCTCAAAAGCCCTGCCAGCCTTACTGACACAGCTTCATTCCTGGTGGGCAGCTGCTCTGGATTTGTTTGCAGCCCTGTGGCTGTCCCAGGCCGCCCATCTTCCTGCCGACGAGCACTTCCTCAGAAGCAGTCCCCTGCTTTTGCAAATGACACTGTGGCAGATGTTTCTGGAAGTGCCCTGCTGTCTTCTGAGTCGCCCCAAGATGCACATGCCAGAAGTAAAACGTCAGGCAGGGGGGTCTCATGGGCAATAGCCCTGGGCGCTCACAGTCCTCGCTGAAGGAGGCGTACTGATGGTGATCCTCCTGGCTGTGAACAAGATTCCACGTCTCCTGCTGATGCAGGTCCCACCAGTGCTTCTGCAGGGACAGGTCTTGCTGTTCCGCTGGGGCAAGTGGGAGACAGTGTCTGAGGCTCATCTCTGCTTCTCTGGCCACCAGCTGGATTGAGCCATCACCGTTTATTGACCAGTGGATTCCCTCCAGTTTCAAGGTGAATTTCTGCCCTGTGCTTCATTTTCTACTGCCATTTGTTATTGATTTATAGGAATTTTCTATAAATCCAGGATTCTAATCCTTGTTAGTTTAAGGTAGTGCAAACACCTTTTCCAAAGTGGCTTAGTTTTTCTTTGGTTTTTAATGTTTTCTTTTATACCAAAGTTCTTCATTTTAACTCAACCAAACATTTTAGTCTTTTATGTCTTGTATATCTTGTAAGTCATTTGAGGAATCTTTCTCTGTTCATCTAAGATTATAATGCCATGCTCTCATATTTAGGTAGAACTTCGGTCTGCTTGGGATCTGTTTGCCTGTGGTGGGAGCTGGCGGGTCATTTCTGCCCCTTGTGACCTCTTTTCCTGGTACTGTCGAATGCTCATGGTTATCACCCCTCCAGCCCCTGATGTGCACATGGCTCCTCTGGGCTCTTTTTACTTGGCCTCGTGGGTACCTGCCACTGCCCCAGGACGTCTGCCTTCACCTGCAGCCCTATGGTCCTCCCCAATACCTTGTAGGCCAAATCCCTTTGAAGGCTTTTCTTGTCCCTGTTTTCATGTTCTCAGCCCTTTGGTAGAACATTTGGAAAAGCACATCAAGTTTTGCCAAGAACAAGCCTTTGTTGGGGCATCTTTATTAAGTTGCATTGGATCTATGTAAAATTGGAAAATAGCGACTATTTTAGAAGTATTTTCCCAGCACTGAGCATAATACCATCTCTGTGTTATCTGTCTTCTTTACTGTCATTCTGTGAAGCATCAGGTACCCTCCATATGTGCCTTGCATACACCGTGTCACTTTTATTATTTGGATGTGTATTATGGACTACGTTGCTATTGCAAATTCATTTTCTTAAAAAAATTTACCTTGTGATTGTTTTTAGTTAATGTATAGTAATGTTATTGATTTTGTGCCTTAACCCTTTATTCTGCAATCTTTTTAAACCATTTTTTTTTTCTAATTTAACAAACAAAGACTAGAATTCTTTTACCCTCCCTCCCTGTATGCTTCATATGAAGCTGAGGTCCCAGTCCCTGTTCACTTGCATGTCCCTGCTTAGAACATAGGTCAGGGGAGTTAATTAATGACATTTCCAGTTCTGGGTGGGGACAGTAATGCACAGGCAGTTCCACAGACCGCTCCCCTGCCAGAGTGTGTTCTGGGTGGCAGCCTGAGCCCCCTTGCCCAGCTGCACCTCAGACTCCCAAATGCTGTGCTGTTCCCTGCAGCTGGGTCTTTGCTCCCTTCTCTGTATTCTGGGTGTATGCTCAACATATTTGTCCTTCAGAGCTTGCTTTGATCTCAGTTCTTCCAGGAAGCTTCCTTGGACTTTCCTATTCTTTAGAAAGATGGGTCCAGAAAAACAAAAACATAAACAAACAAGACTTAAAGTACTCCGAGCTCAAGTGGAGCATAAGCCTGGGAGAAAATCTTCCAAAGTGCTGGGGAAAGATCCCCAGAGTCAGTGATATTACTGTGGGGACAAGTGCTGCTGCTGCAGTCTGGGAAAGGGAATTAACTTATGAGTAATAGATAGAAAACAAAGACCCACCCCTGCATCATCATGTCAGCAATTAGAGGGAATAGGAGGTCCAGACGCCCCCACACGCAGACAGTGAGTCAGAGGCACAACCTGGGAGAACTGTGCTGTGCACTGAGGCCACCCGCTCCTGCGCGTCCCGGAGCGCTTCCCTGGGGGGCGGGGGGCAACGGGTACCTGTGCCTTTTATTCCAGGCTTGAAACAGCCATGCTATTTGGATCAGCGAACACACATCGATTACCTGTCGTGTGCTAGCCATGATACTTGGTAGTTTTAGACACCGCCTCGGTTTCCTCCTCTGGTAAACGTTTTACAAGTTCCCGTTTCTAGGGAAAGATGTTGCTGTGTAAGGGTTTCATGAAGTTCTGACGAAGGCAGAACAGACCCTTGCTTCATGGAGGTCACTTTCCTGCGAGCAGAGGGAGAGCCCCTCGTAGGCACCCCTCGGAGCGCATGAGTATTTTCTAAGTGCCAAACCTGACCCTGGATCACCCGGTGTGAACCTGTCACCTGAAGGTGTGTGTTGCCACCTTGGTTCGGTGTTGTTGTCTGTGCCAGAAACAAGATGTTGTTCCTCTGCCTTCCTCTTGAGCGGTCACACACACACAGCCAGGACAGTGCCTGGGTGTGTGGGTGTGTGGGGCCCTGGACGTGCTGGTGCACCCCTGTGCACTTCGGTTTCCCTCTCTACAGGGAGCAAGGACAGGTGCGGTCCAGGAAGCCAGGTCCTCAGCAGCCGTGAAGGTGGAGCCTTGGGCACCACCCCACTGCTCTGTCCTCTCCTGGGCCTCCCTTCCTCAGGGGAGCACAGGGGCAGTAGCTGCCTCCTAGGTGAGTTGGGATGCCTGGTCACATGGCAGGGTCTGTCCTCCTCCCCTTTCCGTGGGCTTGGCTTTCCCAGAAAGCAGCAGGGCCTCGCTTCCCACCTGGGGGAGACCTATGAGAATTCAGATGCCCTGTGGCCGCAGTAAACTAGAAATGACCCAGACAACAGGTCTGTCTCCATGCCTTTCCCTCCCGCCATAAAGACAGTTCACTCTCCTCCTCTAAGATGGATGAGCTCTGCCCTGTGCCCCTCTTCTCTGTCAGCTCCAGTCCTGGGTATCCTGGGTACAGCTGTGCTACTTGGACCAGCGAACACGTATCGATTACCTGTCATGTGCTCGCCATGATGCTTGGTATTTGGAGAACTGTGTTAGTTTTAGGCAAGCATTCAGCTGTGATGGGGACCTAACAAATAGTGACCGACACACACAAAAAGCATTGTTGGCTTTTAAAAAATAGCTCGCCTGCCTCGCTGAAGAGTCCAGAGGGAGGAGCAGTGGGAGCTGCAGCCGCCGCTCAGCATGGTGCGGGCACAGGCCCTTTTGACTCCACTCACTCACTGCAGGCTGTGGTTTTGTCCTTGTCCCTGAAGGGCTGCTGAGCTTTGAGGTGTCTAGCTTACTTCTGGGGAGGAGGCATAGGGGTGAGGGAGGCTGAAGGACACAAGCTCTCTTTCAGAGCAGGTCCCAGGAGCCATGTCTCCTGGCTAGAGCTTTGCCACATAGACTGCTTTCTGCTGTGAGGAGCCATGGGGACCTGAGTAGGGAGCCTTCCCTCTCCGCAGCAGTGCAGTGAGTAGAGCTTTCAAACAGGTGGCATGTGAGCCTATGGTGCTGCCACAGCTGCGAAGGGTAAGGTGGAACCCTTACCCCTGGGGGAGAGACTCCTGGGGTCCAGTTCTCCGTGCTCCGGGGTGCAGCACCTGGCGTGGTACCTGGGGGCTGAAGGGCTCCTCTCTTTACACAACCCTTGTTGAGTGGCGCTGTGTGCCACGAGCGCAGGGGATCTTCCTTTGGTGTGGGCTGCTCCGGTCCTCCTGTGCGTCCAGTCGTCTTCCAAGGCCTGTGGTATGCCATAGGCATGACTGAGGACCTGAGACCCAGACTCACTTTAGAATGAGTGAGCTCAGCCATGCAGAACAGGGCTCAGTGATCCTCTGTACCCAGGGCCTTTGGTAAATCACACTTCTGCACGTCTGCACCTCGTGGTACCTACTCAGAGAGGAGGAGAGGTGGTCACTCCTCATGGGCTCTGGAAAATTCTGAACTCTCTCTTGTCTTTAAACACAGTACCCGGCAGTGCCACTTGCTTTTGGACGTCTTCAACTCCACGGAGCACGAGCTGACCATCGGTGCCAGGAACAACGAGGAGCTCACCCTGCATGCCGGCGAGTGCCAGCGGTGAGTGTTCTGCCTGCTGCCAGGAGCATGGCTGGGCCCAGGGATGGCCCTGAAGTGGCAGTGTGGCAGTAGCAGCGGGCTCTCACACCAAGAAGCTGTGTCTCTGGGCCCAGGCTGGGGATTAGGGCTGTGCACCTAGAGAAGGGAAAATATTTTTAGGTTTTAATTGCAAAATATTTCAAACATACAGAAAAATAAGAAATATAAGTACAAGCATTTTGCTATATTTACTCCAGATTTCTCCCTCCCCACCCCCTTCTGTCTTATTTTAAGGAAAGAAAATGTTTGCAAAAAATACCTGGCATGTTAACATTATTAGTCAGCAGGGAAATGCAAATCTAGAGCACAGTCAGATCCACCGCGAGTCCTCAGCACGGTTAGAATGGTGTTGGCGAGGACGTGAAGCAACTGGAAGGCTGTAAGAAGTGCAGCTGCTGGAAGAATTGGCTGCGGCTCTTACAAAACCAACCCTGACCCTTGCCCAGATTCTCCAGCCCTAGTTAGTTACTCAAGAAAACTCAAACATATGGTCACCAAAAGAGCATTACAAGAGTGTTTCTAAACCAAAAACTAGAAAGAGCACTGGTGCCCTTACAGAAAGAAAAGTAATCGGTGACATGTTTCTAAGAATGGGGTAGTACCCCAACAAAAACAGAGGAGTTATTCCTCTGCTCAGTGAGGGTGAGCCTCAGGGGCATCCAGAGTAGTGAAGGAGCCTGGAGCCAGCAGGGCCAGTCTGCGGCGGGAAAGGCTGGGCGTGCGCAGCCTCCAGAGGCTGGGATGGCTCTGACCTAAAGGGCAGAAGGTGGTTTCCTGGGTGATGGTCTGGTGGGTGGCTCCGTAGGGTTGGCGTCTCTCAGCATTTGCTCCCCTGACATCTGTGTGTTTCCCTGTATGCAATTCACATCAAAGAAAGACTGTCAACAGACACTGTGCCTCAGTGTTTGCTGATCCACACGCTGAAGGGGCTGGGCCTGGTGCGTTTCTGCAATGGTATTTGAAGTGCAGAACTCATTTATTTGATGCCGGTTGGAGAGGAAGGTGGAGGGACAGATACGCATGGAAGCAGGTCTGGCCCAGTGGGCGTGCAAGGCGTTCAGCTTTATATTGGGCATAATTTAAATAAGAAAATATTGGGAAAATAAGCAAAAGAATAACAGCTGAACCCCTTCCTATCCACGTGGTGCCATCTTCCTTTCCCCGGGGGCAGCTCTGCCGAGGAGGTGATGTGGGTCGGCCTGATGCTCTGCCACTCTCATTGTATATATACATACCCAGAGCCAAGTCTTATTTTGAGTGTTTTTTTTTTTTTAAATGGCCTAAGGGTTCCTTATCATATATGTCCTTTTGAAAATCAAAATAAGCACTACTCTTTGGAGTGACAAATCCGATTCTTTCATTTGACTGCTGTTAATATTTCACTGTGTAAATATGGCACCTGGCTCGTCGCTATGCTGATGCCCTCACGATGAGGCTTCCAGGATATTGGTATTTAATATGACTGTTAATGACACAGGAGTGTAAAGCAAGGGCCTGCAGCCCTGTGGGAGATAACTGGAAGCTGGAGACCAGTGGCTGGGGGCATTTATGAGCCTCCTTTGAGAGGAGCGGAGCGCCTCCCAGCGCACTCCCAGCGCACTCCCAGTGTCACCTGGCTCTCCCTACCCCCAGCAGGACTTTCTGTGCAGTGTGTGCCTGCTCGGGCTCCTGTGCTCTGCTGGCAAATGTGCCGGAGGCTCCCAGGAGGAGGACAGAGCCTTCTGAGGCAGTGGTGCCAGCTGCTGCCCTGCTCCTTAGCTGTGAGGGGAACCCTCTGCCCCTGTCCTCTTTGTCTAGAGGTCTTGCTGTAGCTCAAGATCCCAGAGAACATAAATCTGGTCTTCTTATGACACCAATATAAAACGCTTTAAGAAGTATGCATTGCCAAGCGTGTGCTGTGGTGTAGCTTACTCATTCTTGGCAGCGAGGAAGGCTGAATAATATTAGCAACCTCAGTCGCAAATAATTGCGATTTGGTTTTGTGCTTCAGGCTGCTGCTTTATTAAGCGTTTTGCTGAACTTCTCATTTCCAAAAGCTCGCAACTCACATGTTGTTTTAGTCATTCATAAAATATTCATTCAGTAAATATTAATGGTTAGAGAGCTTGCTATGGGGTGAGCCCCGCGTCAGGCTGCAGGGGTGCCAAGGTCAATGGATGAGGACCCCTCTCAGCCAGGGCAGCACAGTGTGGGCACTGCAGGGTCTAGCCCAGGCAGGTGCCCCCTGCTCCTTGCTGTCCCTGTGGGGTGAGGAGTGGTTGGCAGATGAGAGGCTGACATTAGGTCTGCCTGGATTGTCATCTTGGGCACTGTCCTCAGGGTCCCCACTACTGGGGGTGCCCACTAACCCCCAAGGACTCTGTTGTGAGCCCCTGCTGGAGATACCCATCCCCAAGGTTTAGGCCCAGGAAGTCAGTTCTCTTCTGTGGTCAGGTGCATGCTCAGTCTGCACAGACGGCTCATGTCCTTTGGTTCTCGGGGCCAGTTCGGGGGGAGGTGGCAAGGCAGTGGTAGCAGCTGCCGCAGTGGGATGCACCTTACACACCTAGGCATCAGTCAGCTCCACTCACGCAGGGTTGGGCCCCTCTCTTCCCAGGCCTGGTCCCAGTCTCTCCTGGCACTCCCCTTCTCCATTGGGGACCTTCGTGTGGCCTTTGCTGAGTTGTGCTCAACATTGAAAATCCCATCTTCCCCAAGCAGAAGAAAGGGTGAGGGGAAGTGTTAGCTTTTCATTGCTATAACAAAACACTGGAGGTAACTAACTTATAAAGAGAAAAAGCATATTCATACCACCTGGCAGGTGACAGTGGTGGGAGTGCACATTGGGAGCAAGAAGTGATCATGTCTTGAACAAGGAGCAGAGAGAGAGAGAATGAGGGGGTTCTCTGTGGGAACTCTAAAGAGGCCACCAAGTCTGCCTTCCAGGGCGAATCCCCACTGTGCTAAGCCCTCCCCTTCTTTGCCTCCCAGAGGTTCCACAGCACTTCCTTGTAGCTCTGCTCTGGGTTGAAGTCTGGGACACCGTGGGCCCTGGGGGACCGTCAGATGATTTCCAAAGCAGAGGGGAAGCAATCGAATCTTTGGCTTCCAGGGAACTCGTCCATCTTTCAACTCATCAGCTGCACATTTGCTGGGGCCAGGCCTCCTGCAGTGCGGGGAGGCTGGGTGGGGGGGGCCTGCCCTGCCCTTCAGGGCTTGGATCTGCTGTGCAAAAGCAGATGTGCGTTCCTCACCCAGTGCTTGGGACAGGGCCTTGTGGCTCCCCGGCAGGAGTCTGCTCACCTGCAGGACGTCCTAAGCCCCTCAGGCTGCCACAGCAAACAAAGTGCCACGGGCAAGGGCTGTGGGCAACAGGGGTATGTCTCTCGGGAGGTGCGGGTCTGCCATGGAGGCTCTGGCAGGTTCTTTGTCTGGCGAGGGCTGCTTCTGAGTCTGCTGTGCTTTCTCTATAGTGTCAGCAGTAGAAGGGGTGAGGGAGTTTCAGGGCCTCTTTCTCAAAAGCACTAGTCCTAAGCCCCTCTCACAGCTCCCCCCCAGCATCACATCATGGATTAGGAGTTCAGCATGTGAATTTGGGGACACAGACATTCAGGCCATGGTATTCCATGCCCGGCTCTCCCAAGGCCATATCATCTTCTTTTTTTTGCCAAATCAATTCATTGCATTCCCGTAGCTCAGATCTTTCTGACGTCAACTCAAAAGTCTTTGGTCCCAAGTCTCACTACCTGTCTGCATCAATGTGGGCAAGACTCAGGGTTCCATTGGTCACAAGGCAGATGCTCTCCAGCTAAGGGTCTGGTTCTGGGCTTCTGAAATACAGTGGTGGGATAGGCATGAGATAAATGTTCCCATTCCTACAGGGAAGAGTAAGAAAAAGATCCTCATCCCAAGCAAGTCCAGAACCCAGCTGAGCAGCCAAGGCTGGAGAATAGCCTTTCTTGGCTTGATGCTCGCCTTCCAGATCCACCAGAATGGGCCCCCATTTCAGACCTATGAAGGTGGGGGCCTCTTTCCAGACCCAGCACCCTGCAGCTCCACAAGGCAGAGATTCAGCCCCTAAAGTGCCTGTGTTCTTCTGAGCAGGAGCCAACTTGTCACACTGGTGGCTCCATGGTCCCTGCCCCAGTATGGCTTTCTGATCTGCGCCAGGCTCCTGCACTTTGGGCCTGTGAGGTGAGGGCCATCCTTGATGACTTCTGAAGTGCCCTTGGGTCATTCGTCATTTGGGACAGGGAGTCCTGGGCTTCTGTTGAGGTGACTGAGTGACACACCTGAGTCACCTGGTCACATCCTCTGTGTTCTTCTTTTCACTGTGGATAGGCTGAGTGACAGAATTTTTTTTGTGTTCTGCTTTTCTTTTGGTTACATTCTGTCTTTATATCATTCTCTCATCTTGCTCTAAGAGGTCCAGAGAAACCAAGCCGCACCTTCAACCCTGTGCGGATGTTCTCCTCTGCCGAATTTCCAGCTGGCTGCTCACAGGCTCAACCTCCCAGGGAGCACTGGCACGTGAGCACACGCCAGCTGTGGTCTTGCCATGCCATGGCCAGGTGCCTTTCTGCTTCTGCGCTGCAGCATCATCTGCACCATCGTCTGAGGTCTCCTCAGAGTGGCCATCACCAACCAGGTCCCGGGGGCATCAGCTAGATGTCCTCTTTGACTGGCAGGCTCTCCAGCCCTCCCTACTCTTTCCGGACACCTGCAGGACACCAGCTACACAGCTCTTCACAGGAGTCGTCTGTCCACATCACAACACGTCATCACGACCCTTGGCAGAGTCGCCTTTGACAGGCGTTCCTGGCAGTGTAGGCCTGTTCTCAGGTGCACTCGCAGCCCTCCCAGGGTCTGCCTGGTCCCCAGCCACAGCTGCTCCACAGTATATGTCTTTGTGGCAGCAGCCCCCACTTTTAGTACCAGGTTTTTGTCTTGCCCCCTGGGGCTACTGAAATCAAACCGCTGCT